AGGGGGGCAGGCCCCCAGGACAGCACTAGGGGGGCGCTGTGGGGCAGGGAATGGGGGGGCTCAGCAGGGGGGCGCTCTCCCCTGGCAGGGGGCAGGCCCCAGGACAGCACTAGGGGGCGCTGTGGGGCAGGGAATGGGGGGCTCAGCAGGGGGCGCTCTCCCCTGGCAGGCGGCTGGCCCCAGGGCAGCACTAGGGGGCTCTGTGAAGCTGGAGGTGCCATTTTACAGTGAATTCTAGCCCAGGAGCCCCGGCGTCCTGGCCGTATTTGCCCCCTGGGGGCTGGCACATGTTGCTGGGGCCCCCGGCACCCTCCTGGTGCAGGGGGGCTGGCTCCGCATAGTGCCCGGCTCAGCTGCCCCCCGCAGGTGCTGGACCGGGAGGGGCAGATGGACAACCCCTGCAGTGGCTGGCTGGCTGACACCTACTGGGACAACGTCACCGAGCTGGACAAGCTCACCAACTTCCACGGTATCATGAACTCCTTCGAGCAGTATCCGCGGGACTGGCACCTCTGGTACACCAGCGCCAAGCCCGAGAAGGCCCTGCTGCCAGGTCAGCCGCGGGCACGGGAGCCGGGACGCCTGGGTTCCCTCACCGGCGCTGGGAGGGGAGTGAGGGCTGGTGGGTGAGAGCAGGGAGCCAGGACTCCTGGGTTCTCTCCCTGGCTCTGGGAGGAGAGTGGGGGCTGGTGGGTTAGAGCTGGGGGGCTGGGAGCCAGGACTCCTGGGTTCTCTCTCCCCAGCCCTGGGAGGGGAGTGGGGGCTGGTGGGTTAGAACAGGTGGGGAAGGAGCCAGGACTCCTGGGGTCTCTCCCCGGCTCTGGAAGGGGAGTGGGGGTTGGTGGGTTAGAGCAGGGGGGCAAGCAGCCAGGACTCCTGGGTTCTCTCCCTGGCTCTGGCCAGGTAAGTCCAGGACAGCGACAGGGAAAGGAGGTGCTGCTGGTGCGCTGCATGGTGTCCCGTGCCCAGCGATGATGCCAGGCGGCGGCAGTGTGTGTGGGGGGAGGGTGGGGGGCGCCATGGCTATCTCCCCACTGCCTCCTGGCTCCCTCCGACTCCTTGGGGGGCCCCCCAACAGTGTGCTGAGCATGGGGCTGCCCCACCAGCAACCCACCGTTGGCCTCCCCTCCCCGTGTCGCCCCCTGCAGGCGAGTGGGAGAACTCCTGCAACCAGATGCAGCGGATGCTGGTGGTGCGGTCCCTGCGGCCGGACCGCGTCGCCTTCTGCGTCACATTCTTCATCGTCTCCAACCTGGGCTCCCAGTTCATCGAGCCGCCCGTGCTCAACATGAAGTCGGTGAGTGGGCGGGGGGGCTCCCCCTCCCTGGGTGAAGGGATCGGCCAGCGGCAGACGGATGTGGGAACCTGCGGAACTCCCTGCCACTGGATGCCTTTACCCAGGACCCCGGGGCCCCCTTTCAGACATGTGCTGGAATAAGGGCAGTGAAACCATTTTCCTGGGGGCCCCCCAAGAGGACCCCCCCCACCCGCACCATGGCACAACAGGCAGTTCCTCAGAGATAATCCGGTGCAGGCAACAGCTGGAGGCAGGATCCCAGTCTGCATGGACCCAAGGGGCTGATCCAGGGGGGCAGGGAGGAGGCGGGATACCGGGTTAGACGGGCCCATGGGGCTGGTCCGAGGAGGCGGGACGCCGGGGTAGACGGGCCCCTGGGGCTGGTCCGAGGAGGCGGGACGCCGGGGTAGACGG